TGCAAATCCCTTTGTGCCTTCATCTTCCTCCGACGATGATGTGTTGTGGGGTGTGCACAGCGGAGGCTTTCTTGTCTGCTCCCTGAAATGAGGGTCTGATGGAGACAGATCCCATGATGAATTATGCTCAACTCCCCTTTATCCCAAATACGATGTAAGTAATAAAGCTTGTGAAATAAAGCTTACGATATTGAGTCATTTGCTGAGAGCTACAGCCCTGTGTGAGCTCATTGTTTTTATCCTCATCTCAATTTAATAGCTCAAAAGCAATAAAAAAAATATATATTTTGGTGGTTCTCAATTAAATGTCTTGTGGAAAAATATACAGATTGTTGGTTTCCAGGATCTAGATGAAGGGAGGAGTGTGTGTAACTGCCTAGTGGATATTGTTTCTGTTAGGCACTGTTGAGTTGGTTTCAGCCCACATTGACCTTATGCACAACAGAATGAAACACTGCCTGGTCCTGCAGCATCTTCACAATCCTTGTTAAGATTGAACCTGTTGATGCTGCTGCCTATTGGGTAAGGCCTAGTATTTTGGGTTGATGAAAGTATTTTAGAACCAGACAGAGGTGGTAGGTGTAGAACATTGTGAATGCATGAAATGCCACTGATTTGTTTAACTTCATGTGTTTAATTTGATGTTAGGAGCCGTGGTCTTGTGCTGCAGGACCAGTGTTGGACTGCTAACCACAGGTCTGTCACTCCAATCCACTCCTATTTAGAGTCACTAGTCCTGGTGTGGTGCTGTGGGCTAATGTGTCAGACCACAAAGTTGTTTGAACTGCAAGGTCGGTGGTTCAAGCTCACCAGCTGCTCCTCGGAAACCCAATACAGGTATGGGTTGGAATAACTCGATGGCACTTAACAATAACAACAACATGAGTCAGAACTGACTTGATGGAATTTAACAACAACAACAAATTTTATGTTATATGCATTCTACTGCAATAAACAACTACCCCAAGTTTGATATTTGAGTGAGAAGAGAAAGGAGAATACCCACAAGCAGTAAATTGATGGAGGAGAACATAAATGTCCATGTACATGCAGGAGAACACTAAGGATACGAAGAAGATAAAGAGAGCATTTCAAGACAGTAGCATCATGATGAGTTTGCAGGACATTTGTGAAAAACTATATTTTGGAAAAAAAAAAAAAGTTGACTAATTAAAATTTGAGATTCCTGGGTGACTCAAATGGTTTGCGCTGGATGATTAGCATAAAAGTTGATGGAATGGAAGACAGGCCTG